GGGGGCTATTGATCAATGACTAACTACTTCTATTAGGTGGCTGTCTTTTTGTTACAAAACCAATTCTACAAGCCAAATACACTGAGAGGTGTTGGAATTACAATTCATCTGCAAATTCAATTCTCACACTGATGACCTCCTCAATCGAGGTAACGGATGGCTGGGACATTATCAACCTAACATTCAATGAAAGTGCCAACAGCTCTTTGTCTGTGTAGATTCTTGTGTTAGTACCCTTCCTATCTAATTGCTATCCTATTATCCTTATCTGCTTCTTTTAACTATCCATTTTTTAGGTGTTTATAGGTTACCAGTTCTGCCTACTTGTTTTTCCCTTTGATATTTTCATACCCTCTGTGCCTTGTTTCACACCCTTTTCCTTTTTTTCCTCCCCCTCCCCCTTCTCTATTTATTTTGGGTCTGCACATCCTAAACTCAAAACTTGGGTCATCTGAAGAAGTGGGCTATGCCCACGAAAGCTCATGGTACCATCTACATATTTTGTTAAGTCTATAAAGTGCTACTAGACCATCTGTTGTTTTTTTAAGTGTATTCTGTACAGACTAACTCGGCTACCGCCTGAAGCTTACGTCTGTAAGATTCTTCTTCCTCTCAGGATCACTCTTACTTTTGCAGACAGGGTTTCCTGTCTGGGATAGGTTGCATGGAGACCTGGGGACATGTGCACTCTAATATTCCTGCTTGTGTGCAGGAAAAATGGAGGGGGTTAGTGTCTCCCCCCACTTCATTTAGATTGTTTACATAGAACCATGGATCTAGGGAAGGCAACTGCCTGCCATGTTCTGTGTTCTTTCCCAGAGGTGGCTGCACTTCCCTGGTGTGGGAAGAGATTCCTTCTTGGAGGTCATGATGAGCTGGTCAAAAACAGAAAACAATTTTTTATACAAATGTCTGTGAAATTTTACCTCTTTTCCTTCATATTTTTAAAATCTAAATTTACATATAGTCTCTCATGATCTAAAATGCGATCTGTGGCCCTTGGGGAAGAAAGGCACTATATCAAGACAGAACAAGATTTTCAGAAATGACTAGTGATTTTTGATGCCTCTGTTTTTGGGTGCTCACCTTATATTTGTTGAGAGATCTGATATTCAGAGGGTGCTGAGCCCCTTTTCTCTGAAAATCAATTTCACTTATGGCATCTCAACCATGACACCCTCCTTAGCGAGTGACTTTGACACTCTTGGGTACAAGAAGTTTTATTTAATCCACCCTCCATGCTTCCTGGTCTTCCTACCTCTTTCAGACTTCGATATTGCCCAGGCTTCTGTTTAGCTACTCCCAGAAAATTTTCCCTACTTACTGCCTATGCTGAAGATGATTCTTACCTCTTCAGTTCTCTTCTGAAACATCTGTGTCCGCTCATTCCTTTTCACAAGCTAGGGCCTTGCACTGTTCCATTTAGTGTCTTTTTCCTGACCTGATGAGATTCTGCTAATAATGCTAGGAGCTTAAGGGCTGATGTCTTAGCTGCCAAACATGAAAGGGTGGCCAGTAAACGGAGTTACAGTTCTCAGCCTCAACAAAGACAGCAAGTCTAATACAGTGTAAATGTAAAGCAAGGTGACTGGGTACTTCCTGATCCTTTGTGGCTATGCAGGCTAAGTAATGATATGGGCAATCAGATCTCATGCTTCAAGGTGTTAGCTGATTATTTACAGAGTTCAGGAAGGAGTTTACCTCCACGTGCAGGATTGCACACTTGGCCAGGTGCTTTTCACACTTGTCTTTGATGTGTTTTTAGCTGTATAATAAAGCTATGCTCTAATTTTTGATATCTGAATGAAATTTTGTGTTGATTTTAGCATCAAGAGTCACAGAAGGAACACACATATGATACTCTCCCATGGAGACTTGTGCTTTCTTGTTTTCTTAACCCTGAGATGTATGGAAGACCCTTATGCTCTGTAGTTATATCAGGTACTGGCCACTGCTAGAAGCACAACTAGATGAAGGGAACTGATGTTCTGACTATGTGGCAGATTCTCAGTAAATCTGGGTAGCTCCATTGCGATGTTCTGACTATGTGGCAAATGCTAATTTACCATGTGATCAGATTCTCAGTAAATCTGGGTAGCTCCATTGATTTCACTCATTTACAGGTGAGGCTCATGCCTTACAAAGGTAAGGGAGAAAAATACTCTCCTCTTACTAAGACTTAGGTGGTCCAAAGCAAGAATTATAATGTTCTGCAGTATTACTCTGGTTTGTAATTGTATAAGGAATGGTTCATTGTTTGCCTTAATTTCTCTTCAAAAGCATTTGAAAGAAAAGTTAGTATGCTAAGGTAAAAGATGAGAAGAGAGAAGAGTGTTTATGTTAGGGGTTAATGACCTATTTTGAGAAGAACAATGCTATAATACTGCATGAAGTAGAAAATACAAATCAATCCACTTAGTGCTTTTTCATTTTTGGATGTTAAATCAGTGTCTTACAGAGACTTGTGTCACCTCCTAGATCCTTTTTTCCCACCTCATCTAAATATTTAGTCCAACCTAAAGACTTAGCAGTATTCAGTACAAATAAAATGATGCCTTACTAAGTTTACAGTGTCTTGTGTTCTGATATTGAATCTGTCTTTTTAGGCATATAGAGCACACTCCTGATGGTGGTAAATGAGCATGTCTTTGGTCTGCTGACAGTATAATTAAATATGAGCTGAGCCTTGTAGCATAATGCAATAATTCAGTTTATTACCAGCTAAAATAATTTGTCCTAACCATTGTGTTTTTCTTGTTGTGCTTTTCTTGCAGTTCCCAGGAAGCTTCTGCATGAAACCCAGCCAAACCCAACCAACTACCAAGGAATTCAGCAACCACATTTTCCACACCAGCCAAGAGTGTACGATCCTAATGTTATAGGAGACGGCGTGTTCTTTTCCGATGTCTCGCCTTCCATTATAGAGCGCATTCTGCCAGGTAACTATGGCTGTAACAATATTTACAGAAACCTAATAGTGGTGCTAACAATTATGAGTTCACATTAACGGACACTTAATACCAGAATCCTTACTCAGGCATTTGTGCTGTTTATAAGCCCCACCCATTTTGTAGCCGTGGGAGAAATACAATTGTGCCGTTGCACAACTAGCTCATGATTTTGTGGCTTATGCGTTCTCTGTAGAGTCCTGCAATAAAGTAAAGTAAGTGTTTGTCTGCACAGTTTAATGTCTACCCAACAGCTTCACAGCATGATCCTCCATGGTAAAGCTCACATTGACTTAAATGAGCTGAGGGTCATGCTATTATTTGATATAGCATTTTTCCTAGAAACTCTATCCCCAAATGCTTTACATCCTTAACTGATTTAATTGCAAACCTGCCAGAGAAAGCCAGAGGAATGGGTGAAGAAGAACAGGTTTGAAATGGGATGCATAAGGTACAAAGATAAAGGGATGCTGTTCCAAAGCCTGGGATCAGCAAAGGAGAAAGCTCTTTACCCCATCAGTGATGCCATAGAAAAGGCCAGTGGTACTCAAAGCACAGAGGAAGACAGTGTCTCGGAGGTAGGCATGGGAGAAAGTGAGTGACTTTGAGCCAGATTCTGGAGTGAATGGTGACACAGTGGAGATGGGTGTGGACAGTCTACAGTGGTGGATGGCCTTTTCATGATACACTTTTGTTGCAATAGAATAAATCTCCTTTCTTCCTGCATAACTGCAGTGTTTTTTTTCTGCCCCTACAGTCTGATCATACAGATTAGAAAACCAGTTCTTTGGCTTTATGCTGCTTGTTGCTGGAGTACAGAATGCCCAGACAATCATTCATTTAGGAGCTCGTTTGATTGCACTCAGACCAGGTCTACACTGGACCCAGAAGATTGGCTTAAGGTACACAACTCTAGCTATGTAAAATACGTAGCTGGAGTTGGCTTAAGCTGAGGTTGGCACTGTCTTCACAGTGGTATTTCAACAGGAGCAAACACTCCCATCAGCTCTCCTTATTCTTTGTGACTGCAAGGAGTACCGGTGCCAACCAGAGCCTCCCTCAGCGTTCGATTTAGTGAGTCTTAACTAGACCCGTTAAATCAAACACCAGAAGATTGATTGCCAGTTTGCCAAGTGGAGAGTCATCATTGGAGAGTAGTATCTGAGCCTCTACAGCACTGCAGATTGGATATTCATGAGGGAAGACAGATGAGCACAGGGGGCACATCCATGCACCACAGCGTTAAGACTCAGTAACAGATAACAGTGTTTTGCTTTTGCCATACACCTGCCAGAAATGTCCTGATAACATTGGGACATATGGGAGACTTTGGTATAGACTGGCACGTGCTGCTGCTGTGTGTTGAAAGATCTGACGTATTGCTGAACAGAGCACACAAGGGAGTAAATTGTCAAAGGGTTGCTCATTGTTTGTGAGAATCCTCCTTGTCTTTCAAATCCCTCTCTAAAACCTACCTCTGCAGCGGTCCCTGCTGCTCGCTGGCACTGGTTAGGCAAATGCTAAGCTGAGACTTCAATTTTTCTGCTCAACTCGCTTCATTTTGTTACCTCATCCTCCCATCCACCTCATTGGTTAGTTTTCTCTGCCTGTTGACACCTAGATGGTACATGCTTTGGGGAAAGGATTGTCCTCTTTGCTTGTTGCTTGCACAGCACTCAGAATGATGGGGCCCTGATCCTTGACTGGGGTCCCTTGAGGCTACCGTAATAGAAATAATATGAATAAATAATGACAGTTATTCATGGAACTCCAACTTTTCCTATATCGTCTCCATTTGGTGCCCTGAGGGTAGCTAGTTTGGTAAGTCACAATCCCTTTAGAAACACCCTGTTTGAAATAGGAGGCTATTGGCCTGCAAAACACTGTCAATTAACAGAGCTGCAACTTGGGCTCCTTTTCTTCCCTGACTTATTCAGCATCCTGTTCAGCTCCCTTTTATTCCCCAAACACGTGGCACTTCCAGTTGCTACCTTTACTGCCATATCAATCATTTGGGGTTGTGAATGGCATTTTGAAGGCTCTACATTAGTGGGCTGAGGATATCTGACATGGCAATAATAATAATTACACTCCCGTAGAGTTTGTTATCTGAGATTGTCAAAGTGCCTGATACATGTTCTCACATTATTTTATTGAGAGAGGTGTCATTGCCATTTTACAGATAGGGAAACTGAGGCACCGAGTAATTAATGCTGCACCCAAAAGTGGGTGCCCAGTGTTAGGCATCTAATAAATGGCTTGGAGTTTAGTGGTGCTGAATGCCTGTAACTTCCTTTGGCTTCACATTAGGAGTGGAGTGGGGCATTTATTAGGGTGCTGAAATATGGATTTAAGGGGAGATTTTCAAAGGCACCTTTAGTGCCATTGACTTTTGTATCGAAAATGTTGGCTCCTCTTTGCCCTAGCTTTTTCATCTGTAAAACTGATTTTCAGTGGGGCTAGCACACCTAAATCTGAGGTGATTTAGAAAATGTCCCCTTTCGTGCTGATCTTTAGGCATCCATGTTTGAAAAGTTTAGCTTCAACGACTTGCCCAAGGTCACACAATACGGCATCCAGTTCTAGGGCCCACATTTCAAGAAGAATGTTGACATATTGGAGAGGGTTCAGCAAACAGCTATGAGAATCAGGCTTGCTGATTGGGGGAGACGAGAGAGAAAGGGGGCACTTACCTCAGGGCCCAGCAATGGAATGGCAGCGTCAGCAGCTAGAGCGCTGAGCCCTTTAAATCACCACTGGAGCCCTGGGCAGCCTCCAGATCAGAGGTGGGGAACCTTTTCTTGGGGCGGGCGGGGGGGGGGCTGCCCGCTACAAACAAGTGAAAAGCAAAACAAACACACACAAACAAACAAACAAAAAAACCCCACCCTCCCAAAAAGCCCACCCCATACAAAACCAAACCCTTGAGAGAAAAGGAAAGACACTCCCCACAATCCCCCGCCCCCCAGAGCCCGGGGGGCCCAGGCTAGTAGATTTTGTATGCTCCAGGCCTGTGGTGTGTTAGTGGGAGGGAGGAGGCTGGAACACCAGCGCGGGTTCCTCAATGTTGGGGGGAGTCCTGCGCCTCGGGGGCCAGATCCAGGTAGGCCTGAGGTTCTCCACGCCTGCTCCAGATGGTGTTGAAAAGCTGAAGGGGGGAGACTAGCCCCCAGGGCTGTCTTCCACCAGAGGCCTCGTTGTTTCATTTCCAGAAGGGCAGAGCTTGGCCCTCCCAACACTTGCTTAAGGGTCCAGCAATTCTGTCGGCCCCGATAAGAATGATTAAAGGATTGGCAAGCCTGCCTCAGGGGCATAGAGTCAAGGAGCTCAATCTACTTAGCATGACAAAAAAACCCAAAACTAAGGTGTGACTTGATGACACTCTGTCAGTGGTGACACGGGGCTTTTCCGTCTAGCTGAGGGCTAATAGGATCCAATGGCAGGACACTGAAGCTGGACAAATTCAGGCAGGAAACAAGGTGTATCCATGAGCATCATTCACCGTTTCAACAATTAACGGAGGGTTGTGGTGCATTCTTAATTTTTACATCAAGATTGGATGTTCTTTTAAAAGGTCTGTGCTAGGAGTTATTTTTGGGAAGTTCTGAGACCTGTTATATGGGAGGTCAGACTAGATCAGCACAGTGGTCCCTTCCGGCTTTGTACTCTATGAATCTATGCAGTCACACTAATAGGATGCAGCACCACGCAAACATTCATCCACCTGAGCCGTCGCCCCGCCGACATTTTGAATTAACTTTGTTTCCCCTTCACCACCAAAGTTGTCACTTGACCTCAGGGGTCGATCACACCCAGGTGTTCACCTTGAGTGTGAGCTGTGCAGATACAAACACAAAGAGGCAGCGACCAAATGCAGATGTGAATGCTCTGTGTGCTGGAGTTGAAAGTGACTTTGCTCCTGCAGCACTAATTGTGCACCAGATCTGTCAGTTTCCTGAACTTCATACCTGTAGTCGGTAAGTAGAAGTCAGATGCAATTGCTGGCAACTATGCAGTGTTTGTTTGCAGCCTGTATCAGATACGAGGGGACAGGAATATTAAAAGGTTTAACAGCCCGAAGCTTTTGCTCATTCTTAGGTGGCTCTCCATGGGCTGGCTTTTTAATGTGTTTGAAACAATTAGTATTTCGCCATTGGTTGCGGTGTCTACAGACAGATCAAGGTACAGCCTGTTCTTAGTGGTGATCAGATAAGGTCTGAAAGGGTCTCTTTCAGACTCCTGAAATTAGCTGCCTTCCCAGCTCCAGTCTTCAAATAAAATCAAATCATTAACTCATGTTCCCTCACCTCTCTGAAGGGAAAATGATGTCTCCCGGAAACACCACAAGAGTGTGCTTCTGAAGGAAGTTGTAAACGCAGGCAAAGATCCGCCCTTCCCTTCATAAGGCTGGAGGGAACGCTGTGCTGCTTGCCAGGTGTGGATCATTGCAGTATTGCTATGAGATGCAAGTGTAGTCTTACCAACTCTGTCTGTGTCTTCTCAGCCTGTGTGCTGAGTTATTACGTGTTTAACAGAGCTCAGCATTGATAACCACTCTTCCATTATCCAAAAAAGAAAAGCAAGCTGATTATGTATTTGCTCTTCTGCATCAGGGTGTGTCTTAAGAAGGGGTGTGTGAAAGAGAACGATATGGGGAGAGGAGAAGCTGCTGGGTAGCCAGCATGGAAACTGCCTTGAATCCATCGTAGCCGCGCAGCTGGAGCTAACCGAGAAAGTCCAGCTGCCCAACTGGGATCGATTTGGGTGGTGTTTCCAGTGATTGGCTCCAGATTTTTGAATGTAGAGAATTCACTTGCTTTAGGGCAAGGCGCTGCTGGAACTGATGTGCTTGTTTCCTCACTCAAACAGAGAAGAAGAAAGAGAGGGCTGCTACCTTTTACCCACTAGGCAACACCGCCTTGCTGCTTCCTGTGGATGAGACTCAGTGGCTAGTGGCTAACAGCAGCATGGAGCCTGTAAGTGTTAGCACAGAGATGGCCTTGCTCAGCAACATCCTAGCAGCATATTCCTTCATCACAGGTAAATCACTCACCTGCTTCTTCTCTGGACTTCTCTGATGTCTTTTAAGATGTTCTGCGGGGCTGCACCAGCGTAACTGAGGGCAGAATCTGTCTCTTTGTATTTCTCCCAGAGCTTCATTTTCCCATTTGTCTCTCAGCAGCTTTTCCCTTGAAAGACTTGAGCGGCATAGCTCTAGAGAAGGGCTGACTGTATATAACAGGCTGTATTGTGCTCTGCCGTCACTTGGACTTGCTCTCATCCGAAGTTAAATACAATGTAATCTTAGATGTGGTATTATTTTTAATGTGCCTTTTTTCTTGAGATCAAAGGCTGGCTCATTAAAAGGCAAGCTTGTGGTCCTGTAATTTGGAAAATAAGTGGCACTTAGATCATTACCCTGCTTAAGAGAATTTGGCTTCTCTTCAGTGGAAGTGTGAAGATGGAGTTATGGCTTAGTGTAATTATATATTTAAATCTAATTTAGGGAAAGCTTTCCTCTGATCACAGCTTAGCTTTCATCCACATATTTTTTTGTTATGTATCTTTCATGTAACACAGGAGCTTTCCTCCATTTATATTTATTTTACAGTCACTCTCCCCATGAAGATCATCAGCCCAAATGAGTGCTTGAGGGCAGCCAGGATGGGGGCCCCCAATATAGAATCAGAGGCACAGTTGCACACGCTTCCATTTGTATTAGTGAGAGCAGCGCTGGTTGGTGCTACTCACAAAGTGGGTGGATCTAGCCAAACAAAGTGTGGGGTCAGGCTAGCTAGGAGTTGTGTTGATTTACCACATTCCTCAGTCTGACTTCTGATGACGGGGTCGGTGTTTGCCTCTGTAATTACCATTGGCATTGCAAAACTACTGTCCGCGGACTTGAGCCCCCTTTCCCTTGTGTAACAGAGACAGTGTTTGCATTTGCTGGCCTAGCGTTGCACATGGTGAATAAACCCACTGACCGTACTGAGGCTAAGCCAAGGAAAGCGCAATGTTCAGTCTGGCAGAACCAGCACCTACATGATTAAAATGCAAACAGTGTTGAACTTTCTTTTTTCACTTCACTCAGCTTCAGTCACTTTTATTTCCCCTCGGCAACACACTCTGGTTCTCATGCCCTTGCACAAGGCTGTTGTGTTTTGGTCCCCAACACAAAGTCTGGCATTCTAGTTGTGGCAAATATACATATATTCAGGAGAATGTTTCTGTGTTGAGTTCCTTTTGTAGCACTTTTTAAAAAAGCAACCCTGCTGTTAAGTGCAAGGTTCTGCCATCCTACCCATCTGATGGCAGTAGCAGGGCCTGACATTCCAGGATCCCTTTGAAAGCAGAGATTCTTAATGTAGAAATAAATGTCCTTCATAATTTAAGATTGAATATTATATGGTTCATAGATATGGACTCCTGTACCAGAAGATTTCAAAGAGCTGTAAATGCATCGTCTGTCTAATCTGTCTCTCTAGCTGTTCATCCAATCTATCCCCACTGGAGTGCTACACAGATTAGCAAACTGTTTTAATCTTTCTGCTAATATGGATTAAATCATAGAATCATAGGGTTTGAAGAGACCTCAGGAGGTCATCAAGTCCAACTCCCCTGTTAAAAGCCAATCCCAACTAAATCATCTCAGCCAGGGCTTTGTCAAGCCGGGACTTAAAAACCTCTAGGAATGGAAATTCCACTACTGCCCTTGGTAAACTATTCCAGTGCTTCACCACCCTCTTAGTGAAATAGTTTTCCCTAATACTCAACCTAAACCTCCCTCACTTCAACTTGAGACCACTGCGCCTCATTCTGTCATCTGTCACTACTGAGAACAGCCTCTCTCCATCCTCTATGGAACATCCCTCTAGGCAGTTGAAGGCTGCTATCAATACAGTTTATCAGGGCAAATAGAAATATAATGGAAACATAATAAAGATTGCAGAGGATAACTGTGTTAGCCTGTTTCAGCAAAAACAATGAGGAATCTGGTGACACCTTAAAGATTAACAGATTTAAGCTTTCATGGGCTGAAGTCCACTTTGTGAGCTGCATGAAGTCTAATAATAATAATAATAATTAATAATAATAAATAATGGTTTATATTTCTATAGCACCTTCCTTTAAAAGGCCTGAAAGCATTTTACACGCATTTATGAATTGTCAATAGAAATGCACTTAAACCATAAACTTTAACCCTGAATTGGAATCCTTCTTCCACCAGCCACCCTCTCCTCCCCTCCCATTTCTGGCATTTTTGGATTTGGAGTATAGTTGATTATGAGAGAAGTCAGACATAAAATTGGGTCTGAGCTCTAAAGTGTGCTAAACTTTACAGCTCAAATCTGGGAATTTGGCCTGGTGACACCTCTAATCCTCACAACTTCCCTGTAAAGCAGGTTATTATCAATATTGTCATTTTATAGTTGGAGAAAAGTTAAAGTGACTCATGCAAGTGTAACCCACACACTGGCTGGGTGGCAATCTAGTGGCAATTAGACCACTAACAGAGAGAATGAGTGTGTTCTATAGCCTTAGCTAATAGTCAGCTAGCTTTTAGCTCAGGCACTAAGCTCTGGAGGTCCCAGGTTTAGTTCCACTTATTGGTGTTACACAAGGACACGAGGCAGGGAAAACTGGGATTAGCATCCAGGTTTTTTGACCAAAAGTACCATGGATTATGTTTCCTTTTTCCACACTGGAACTCTGGCCTATGTTTTTCTTGTAGGACAAAATTTCTTTTGAGCTGGGATTCTGCTAGATTTAGGGCTGTTCTGTGCTGGTGAACTCATTAAGATAGCAGCGAAGCTACAAGCCCTATAGGCTTAATTATTTTAAAAATCATTCTCTTTTGGGGACCTGTTCACAAAGTGACGTGCACCCTCAGTTCCCACTTAAGTCTGTGGGAGTTATGGGCCCTTCATGTTTCATAGCACCAGGGAATTGTCCATGCTGCTACATCCCTGTAACTTGTGCCTCCAAGCAGCAGACAAAAACAGGGGTAACGCATCATTTCCTGACTGCAGCTGCCTCCGTCTTGTCTTAAGGAAAGCCATTTGGAACCTGGCTATACTGACCAGCAGAAGCATTTCCAGAACAAATCTGTAGGATACAGGTGGGCAGCTGCAGACCAAAACAGCAAACACTTGCCTTTAGCCCCTGCTAGCACTGAGTTGTGCAGCAGTTGGGGAAGTTACAGGCAAATACAAAGAGATATGTCCTGGCCACCTTCGGTACCTCTTTAGTTGAAGTCGACCTATAAAGAGGCAATGTTCTGATTAATGGCAAAGGAGTGCAAAAAGCCAGGATACCACGTCACACACTCACTTGTGGGAGTGTTTGCTTTCTTTTATCAGTCTTCTCATGGCACACTGAGCGATAAGTCAGGGTCCTTTGGCATTCCAGCTACAAAAGCATTCGTGTTTGTTTCAAGCAGCCCCACGGAGCTTTTACAGTAATATTTCTATAGAAATTTGCAAAGCAAATAGAAACAAGATCAGTAGCTGGTGATTCTACTATTTAGCTGGTAAACTTGTCAGATTTAGGCCTCAGTGCTCAACTTTAAAAATGAGTATGCATGCAATTTTACAGCACGTGTGTTGTACCAAATAAAAGCAAGCAGGATCTTATGAGGGGGATAAGGCAAAAAGCCACATTTATTGTAAAGATAATAATAAAAAATAAAGAAAAGATAGAAGCAAACAACGTTGTTTAACTACTTATTCCTAACACTACTTAACCCTTATACACTTATATATATATATATATATACACACACATACACACACATATATATATATATATATATACATATACATATATATAACCATTCATTCATATATCCATTCATTCAAGTTCTGTGTATAGTTACCAGCCTGGAAGTTGCTTGTGACAGGATACTGGCCAAGGACTC